CTTACGACCATTTTGAGTTATTACCGAAGTTCTGGAACCAATTAAGTTTGTAAGTCAAGGCACCACTGCATCGAATGAAAGTACTCCGGCTTTAGAATTAGTTTCATTAGCTAAATGTATTAAATTAAGTATCCTTCTCCTTAAAAGTGACATTTGTCTACCTTGTATAAATCCATTTTGATCTTTTTCAATATAAGCTCCCATAAAGTTACAGTGGTGCCTCGCATAGCGAGCGCACCGTTAACGACGAATCCGCATAGCGATCTATTTTTTTAGATCGCTAATGCGATTACATTGTGATGTTTTAATGGGTAAAACATCGCATTGCGATGATCAGTAAGCGTTTCGCTTACCGATCTTCGCATTGCGATGTTTTTTGAACAGCTGATCGGCGGTTCCAAAATGGGCTGATCCACGGGCATCGCGAAGCGAAGATCGGTAAGCGAAACGCTTACTGATCGTCGCTATGCGAGTTTTGCCCATTGCGACCGTCGGTATGCCTCCGCATTAGCGATCCCGAAAAAGGGATCGCTATGTGGATTCGTCGTTATACGGTGCGCTCGTTAAGCGAGGCACCACTCTAATCTCTTTGCCATTATTGCTGTGAATATCTTAGCATCTTGATTTATCAGTGATATGGGTCTATATATACTCCATATTCACTGGATTTTTATATGGTTTCAATATTAAAACACTCAATGACTCTTTCTAAGATTGTGGGATTTCTTCTCCCATTAATATATTATTAAATAACACTTTTAACTCTGGTACAAGAGTCTTTTTAAATACTTTATAATATTCTGTGCCTAATCCATCTGTTCCGGGGGTCTTTCCTGTCTTTAAATTATTTATAATATCCTCTATTTTTTTATCAGTAATTAACTGTTCCATTTTATTTTTATCATCATCTAACAGTTTCTTATTGAAATTGTTTTTATATAATCTTCAATTTTTATTATGGAAGGATTTTTACTAGTATATAAAGTTTTACAAAATGTTTGAAATGCTTCCAATAATTCAAATCTTGAATTACTCCTATATTTATTCTTTTTTATAGAAGATGTTTTAGCTAGTAACTTGGAGTTCTTATTAATGAATTTTAAAAATTCTCTTTTCAAATGAATTAAATTTCTTTGCAGAAATTTAATTTCACCTTTTCCCAGATGAATAACTTCCAATTCCTTCCTTTTTGCCTGTAGTGGTGCCTCGCTTAACGAGAGCCTTGGTTAACGATGAAATCGCATAGCAATTTGTTTTTTGTGATCGCATTGCGATGTTCCCAATGGGAAAACATCGCTCTGCGATGATCGGTAAGCTGTTTCGCTTATCGATTTTCGCATAGCGATGTTTTCCCAACAGCTGATCGGCGGTTCCAAAATAGCCGCCGGGTAAAAAACATGGCTGCTCCCTGTGTTATGGGATGGATTCCTCGCATACCGGGCAGCGAAAATGGCGCCGTATGGAGGATTTGCGCTTAAAGGTAAGTTTTTTGCCCATAGGAACGCATTGAAGGGGTTTCAATGCATTCCTATGGGCTTTTTAAAATAGCTTAGCGATGTTTTCGGTTAGCGGCGATTTTTGCTGCACCGATTAACATCGCTAAGCGAGACACCACTGTAATTCTATTATGGCTTTCTTATTCCTAATTCTTATAACTATTTTTTGTAATTCCCTTATATTATCCTCTAAATCCTGTATTCTTCCCCCCCCTGGTTTTTTTAAGTATATAAGATGGTTTACATGCATACCCTCTTTGCACAGACTTCATAGTGTCCCAGATTATCTTAGGTTGCCCTCCTTGCCTCTCGTTTATTTCCTATGTCTCTTCTAAGTTTTTTTTAAAGTTTCAATCAGGTTTGGATACCAATAAATATTTGTATCAATTTTCCACCTTACAGCCTCCTTATAATCATATTTAACCATCAGTTCCATATTCACTCTAGCATGATCTGATATCTGAATGACTTCAATAGCTGTGTCCTTCACCCTTGGGAATAAGTCTTTAGCGACAAATATATAATCTATTCTTGAGTATGTGTTATGCATCTGTGAGTAGGAGAATTTTCTTTCTTCACCCTTTAATTCTCTCCAAACATCTTTCAAATCTGTTTTATTAATTAATCTAATATTGCACATTTAAATTTCCCTTCCCCAATTTGCAATTTTGACATCCGTCTTCACACATTTAAATTTCCCTTCTCCAATTTGCAATTTTGACATCCGTCTTCATATCCATTCCCATGTTAAAATCTCCTGCTACTATCACGTAACTTTTCCTCAGTTTATCCAGCCTTCTTAATAGATTTTCAAAAAATTCTTCCTGTCTCTCATTGGGTGCATAAACATTCAGAAGTGTAAAGTCTTCTCCTTTTATTTTACCTTGCAATATCAAATATCTCCCTCGGGTATCCTTTCCCATTTTTTCAATTTTAAATTCACATTTTGCAGGAGGATGGAAGGCTGAATCAACCTTTAGCTGGCTACATGAATCCGTGGGGATCGAACTCATATCCCAAATTAAAGCACTGCACAATTGCAATGAAACCAAAAGACAGTACAGCCACTTTAATACTGTGAAAAAACTACCCAGCCAAGTGTTCAAGTTCAAACGAATAAATATACCCCAAAGACCTTCGTCTCAGCCAAAGGTCTTGGGTATGCGCGGATTACTTTACTGCGGGTTTCAGTGTCGTTTTATTTTTCTTTGAAACGCCTTTTTAAAAGCCATGTTCTGCACTTGCTGCAATGGCACCAGCGCTAGCTGGCGCGTTTCCGAAGCACAGTTCCTCCTTTATCGACGTCGTTCACCTGAGGAACGGGCAGCCAACCCTTTCGGCTCCTTTATCGGGGGCCTCTTTCCCTGCTGCCACCCACAAGGGCGAGCCAGGCGATCCGATCCGAGCGGCCCTCGCTCGCCCTCCCACCCCGTCCACCACGAGGCGCCTCCAGCCCAAGGGTACGCAAGCGGGGAGTTGCCAGGCGGCCTTTGGCGCTCCGCAGCCGCCTTCTCGCGCTGGATTGGAGCGGGTCAGCCCCGGAGGGGGCGCGCGCGCAGCAAAAGGGGGTCAGCGGCTGCAGAGACCAAGAGAGCAAAAGCGGCGGCGGCGCGTTGCCCCGGCGGCGCGAGCCAGCAGCCCGGCGCGCGACTTCCCTGCGCGTCAAAGTTCAAGTGGAGGCTCTTCGCCCATGCGTTACACCTCTTCCAAAACTGCTCCTGGTTGTATCCTAACAAAGCAACCGGCGCGCGACTTCCCTGCGCGTCAAAGTTCAAGTGGAGGCTCTTCGCCCATGCGTTACACCTCTTCCAAAACTGCTCCTGGTTGTATCCTAAAAAAGCAAGCCGGCCCACCCCGCCCGCCCCCCTCCCTGAAAAAAGCCGCGGGACATGAGGTTGACCTTCGCTGGGTGAGGCGTATTAGGAGCTAGTCTCTGCAAGAGGCTTGAGAAGACCACCCTTTTTTGGTTGTGTTGTTGGAGAAGAGTGGCTTCTCCTTCCGGCCATTCCGTTGCCTTGCTTGCAGGCTTTCTTGGAGGTTTGTCCGCACCGCTGGGACTGGTGCCCAAATAAGGCACGCACGGACTGACCCCCTCGGCTGTTTGCACGGAAGGCCCACTAGAGACAGCAGTCTACTTCAGGGAAGATTGCCAGACTTACCTCTCCAAAACACTACTGAGGAAGGAAATAAAGCAAGGCTTTTTATTATTCTCCTCGGACCTCAACCCCCTCCACCCGCCCTGCCGCCGCCTTTCAGTTTCGCTGCGCCTCCCCGAAGCGGGGCAGAACTCCTCCAAGAACCGCTGAAAGGCCCGCAAGCGCACCCCTGAACCGCCGCCGCCTCCTTTCTTACGCGGCTCCAGTACTTTGGCCATCTCATGAGAAGAAAAGAGTCCTTGGAAAAAACCTTGATGTTAGGAAGGTGTGATGGCAAGGGCGAGACGGGAGGCGACCGAGGAGGAGGAGGAGGAGGCGGCGAGGGAGGCGCTTCTTCACTCCCACCCCCCTCCCAGCGAAGATCTCGCGGTGCTGGGCGCGCTCCGCCTCAGACGCCTCCTCCTCCTCCCTCTCTCTCGCTGGGAGCGGTGACTGTGCGCAGTGGAGCGGGCGGGGAGCGCACAGCTGGGCGGAGAAGCACGCCGGCTTCCAGCTCGAGGAGAAGGAGGCGCCGCCGCCGGCGGGAAGAAAAAGAGGAGGGAGGGAGGCTGAAGTAGTACTCGGCGCCGTACTAGCAAAGAGTAGCCGCCGCCGCTGCAGGTGGGAGGGGAGCGCGTTTTGTTCCGCCAGCCGCCGCCGTCACCACCTCGTCCGTCCCAGTCCGGCGCCCGAGCCTCGCCCAGTCCGATGTCCCTGCTGCTGCTGAGGCGGCGGCGGCAGCAACGCCAGCAGCGGCACTGAGCGAGCCGAGGTGCTTGTCTGCAAGCCGGCCGAACCCTTTCCGCCTTCCGCAGCCAGAATATGGCCACCCAGACAACGTGCACCCGCTTCACCGACGAATACCAGCTGTACGAGGAGCTTGGCAAGTACGCAGCCCGCTTGCTCCTCGCCGGTCTCCTCCTCCTCCTCCTTTTCCCCCCCTCTTCCTCCTCTTCCTCCTCCTGCTGTTCTGCCGCCGCTTAGCGCAGCCCCGTACAGAGGCAGCTGGGTTGTTATTGCGCCCGGGACGTTGCTGCTCCTTGCCTTCCGCACTCCCTTGCCCCTCATGGCTGGGTTGCATCCTGTCCCTGGGTCCCACTGCCCTCTGCTCCATTGTGCCAACCTCGGAGCTTCCCCTTCCCCTCTTGTGTTGCATTCATTAGTTTACGCTCAGGAAGTCTTTCTAGTAAACTCTCTCTTTCACACACACGCACGCACGCACCCGCCATAATGCGGACTTTCGTTAACTGTTACCGGATCCGGATCGGAACCTTGATGCGGACTTATCTTCCAGTCTACCTGTGCGTTTGTACTGCGGTTTCATAAACCTGGAGTCAGCGACCTGTTCCATAATTGGTTAAAGTATACCAGAACAAGCTGCTTATCAGTGGGGAAGAAAGCGACGTGTTTCTCTCTTGTTATGACAAGTCAGTTACAGAAAGTACGTTGCAGAGTAATGGAAACGTGGTGAAGAATTCGGAGTGTGTTACTCTTCTAGGTTGCACAGACTGGACTCTGCATGGTACCTAAGTGATATGCGATTCCAGGCACTATAGAACTGCTCCCTCCCTTATTAAAATGGTTGTTCTCCTTGGGGGGGGGATCCCTGTCTTAGCGCCCCCCTCTTGTTGGTGCTGCAGCAGCTTGCAACTTGCTTTCCGTTCCCCATTTCTGTATTATAGCAAGGGGACATTGCTGCATTTTTCATGCATCCAGGAGACGTCCCTGTGCAGAGGTGTCACCACTTTCCTCTCTCGTACCCCAAGAGTTCCAGCACTGGTCTCTCCTTCAGTGGATTCTGGAGGAGATGTGCCCATTGGCATTCAGCGAGAGGTGAATAAATTCTGTGGAGGGAGGAGGGATTAGATGCAGGTAGTGCTGCGTTTGATTCCTCCTCCTTTACTGCACCAGTCACTGGGTGCTACTGCACCCCCACCCCCAATTTTGAGCCCAGCTCACATGCTGCTGTTCTTCAGCTGTTCCTTGTTATCAGCTTCCTTCTGGCTTGCAGGAACATGGGAAAGAAATGTCTCTTCTTTAGTTGAAGCCTTGTTTGTAGAGGTGTATGTCCATGCTGGCTTGATGTGTTTCTTGTGCCAGGATGCAGACAGGTTTTTATTATGTGCAAAATAATAATTAAGCGTTCTGTTCCCTCCATCATAACAAATCTCCAGTCATGCCCTTCTCTTGTATTTCTGCCCGCTCTGTCAACCTTTGGCTCTGTTTTCCTGTACCTGTTCCCATGTCCTCTATCTTATCCGAAATGTGGGACTTCTCTTTACCAGCTCCCCTACCCACCCCTCGCCCGCCTTTTCTGTTGCACATCTCTTGCTAAACTTGTACTGATAAATCATACTAATTAGGATACATTCTGATAAACCAACCCATCATGCTTTTCTATGGGCTGGACAAAACTTTTCATTTCACAGATAGGATGCTAGGCTGCAGGAGGAGCAGTCTAAGGTGTCCTGATTTGCCAGGGGAGGGGGTAGGAAATGAAGCTCAAAATAACTACCTTCCACTTTTTGAGGGAACCTCAAATTTGTTAATGTGTGCATCTTGAGAGATTTTTGTTTCATTTCTTGCTTTAGGCTTCATTCTTAACTCGGTGTCACAGGTTCAGCCTTTCCTTTTTGTTCCAGGGGAGCTTTTTCAGTTGTCCGCAGATGTGTGAAGAAAACCTCATCCCAGGAATATGCCGCAAAGATCATCAATACCAAGAAGCTGTCTGCCAGAGGTGAGTATTGGAATACTGGCTTTGAGGAAGTTCTTTTGCTGGGTCACGGCAGCAGGTTAAACTTCTGTAGATCCTATAGTGTGGTGAAATGCAGTGTTGGCCTTTTTTAAAATCTGTGTTTCTTAGATTCTTTTAGTCTGTGCTCCCAATCTTTTATTAGCTGTTGGACACTGGAGAACAGCATTACTTTCTGCAGTGGTATCTGTTAAAAGATTTGATGTTGACTTTGTGAGTATTCTCAAAGGTACAGAAATAGATGCGTCTTGTCGTGAGAATCGGTTCCAGTGAACTGACTGTGAGCCTACTTCTGAACGAGTAGGACTGAAAGTGCTCCTCGAGGTAGCACGTACTATAATACGCAAAATAGATAGGTGTCGTCCCTTGCTTTTCAATGTCTGGATCTGATAATTCAACACACCTGCGTGTTGAACAAAAAAAATGCTGGAAGAAGTCTTTACTGTTGACAACCAAAAGACAAGCACTTCTGAAGTAACTGAGTCTGGGTGAGTTTATAGGTTGTTGTGGAGTATTGTTTTTGTGGAAGTCTTAGCCCTTGTTGACAGTGCCTGCAATCACTTTTTTTCTTGCTTTCATTTTGGTTGAACATGGGGATGAAATTCAACATTGCAACATAGCTTGCCCTCCCCCAACATGGAGACTTTTGTTGCATATCATGTAATATATATATGAAGAGCTGGAGGGGTCAACTTGAAGCATGTGTTTTCTTTTTGTTAAGGTCCTTCTGAAACTGTACGATTGTCTAATACAGTACAAGAAATATGTGGCACAAACCAGTTACCTTATTGGCAAGTGATTGACTGTTCTATCTAGTAATTAATTAGGAGTTGTGGCTAACATGTTTCGGTGAAAGGCGGGGTACATATTATTATCCTTGACATAAGTTATTGTGAGAAACTAACATGTTTCGGTGAAAGGCGGGGAACATATTATCCTTGACATAAGTTATTGTGAGAAATATAATCATTCTGTAAAAGGATTGCAGATAAATATGCCTGTTCCCAAGTTTCAGTATATAGTAAGACCTCCATTATTTAGGAGATTGGTATCTGGAGTTTCGGTTATCCGCAGTTTACTACAGTCCTAATACTGTATACAACATACAATACAACAGACCTTGTGATTTATCACAGCCCTAATATACAACATACAATACAACAGACCTTGTGGCCTTTATCCTGCCTTCTTGTAAGTTGTATGTAGAGTTTGCTACAATCCACAGTGTCAGGCATTGGCAGTAGATCGTGGAACAAATCCCCCATAAATACAAGGGCCTTACTATAAAGGCAGGAAGCCTTCTGCTTTTGTAATGGGTTGCCTTCGGTAAAACGTAACAGTTTTATTTTCTTTTGGCCGTTGCTGCCTGGTTTCTGATTAGCTGTGCTGCACTGGAGCAGTGCTACTCCCTCTCCCCATCCTGAGACATGCCTGTTGCCCCCCTGCTACTCCCTCTCCCCATCCTGAGACATGTGGGTTTCTCAGGTACTATTTAAACAAATCTTACAGTATTAGCCTCCATCCTTTTAATAATGGAAATTGTTCTGTTGGTGTTTTCTTCTACTGAGAGCAGGTTTAGCATCTGTACGTCAGTCTCCCAAGTGGTAGATGGCTGAGGACTGGCTAAACTGACGGTAGGCTAGCTGAAGCTGTGATGAATCCAAACCTGTCCCAGCTTGATGCTGTTGGAAGTTAGTTGCGTCTACTCTGCCTGCAGCCTAACCTTGTGCGGGACATGTCCTGGTCTACACCTCTTCCTCTCCCCCCCCCCGCCCCGCTTCTTGTCTGCTCGCCAGTCTCAGTTTTCTCAGTGTCAGTTCCCATCGTGACTGTGAAGGTGACCGGCTACGTAAGGTTTTCGTAAGGCTTATTCAAACATTTGGTTATTTCTGACGTGAATTGTTTGAGATCGGACAGGAAATTTACCTGGATTATAATAGTATGCAGAGAAGGAATCACTGTGCTGTACATTTAATCTAGGAGTTTTCTGTCTCAGCAGTTCCCTGTTGCAATACAGAAGTTTTATTGGAACAAGATATTGTGAAACACCTATACAGTCATTAGTGTTCTGATGCTCAAATAGGTATTCCTGTGTTGCAATTCCCTTTCTACTTTCTGTAGCATAGGGGAGGAATAGCCGATGACGGTAGGTCATGTACCAAAGGTGGAGGGCGAAAAGCAAATAATAAGAATGGGCATATTGGTACTTAAATGTAGCTTAACTTGGATTATTCTAAAAGGGTAATATGATGTCCTTGCCATAGGAATACAATACAAAACAATGATATAACTGAAAATTAATCTATAAGACAACCTGGTCTAACATTAATGGATCCTTCAAAGAAATGAATGAAAGAAGTAAAAAGGGTATCCCCATAGATTCAAAGATAGCTCTGAGAAGATTGGAAAACAAAGACTGGCATTAAAGGATCTGTTTCATTACTCAGTCTCAAAATAAGTGAGACTAGAAATTAGTAAGAATCCTGAGTAAAAGTAGAATATATGGATGGGAGGAGAAAATATACATGGAGGTGATGAACATCTCTTCAGTGATGTCTGGCTTTGTCCTGAATTTGTCTGAGTCTTGCAGAGCTTTTCGAGTTGTCTTGAATATTTTTTGTTCTGCAGAGTTGGGTAAATTGATGTTTCTGCAGATCACAGAAGGGTTTATTTACTCATTATGGAGTGGAGGAAGCTGAGTGCCATTAACAGACAAGTGGAATGGTGTTCTTGGCTGGTAGCATGGATGTCCCAACCATAGAGGCAAACAAAGCAAATACTGATGGCGCCTACAGTCATGGGATATCTTCCCTCAGCTATGTAAGTGTCTTCTGGGAGAAGAGCAGATTACAGAAGGAATCGCGCAAAGATGGTTTGGCTGAATGAGAGATCTCGTGCAATCCCAGCAGCATGACCAAGAACTTGACTGCACAGTTTTAAAGGGGGAAAAAAGTGGAAATAAACAGTATTAGAAAATAACAATAAAAAGATGGTACAGTGGTGCCTTGCTTTAACGACGATAATCTGTTCCAGGAAAATCGCTGTTAAGCAAAAACATCGTAAAGCGAAATAAAAACCCCATTGAAACTCATTGAAACCCGTTCAGTGCGTTCCAATGGGATAAAAACTCATTGTCCAGCAAAGATCCTCCATATGGAGGCCATTTTCGCTCCCTGTATATTGAAGAATCCGTCCCTAAACACAGCGGGGAGCCATTTTAATTACCCGGTGACCATTTTGAAACCGCCGATCAGCTGTTAGAAAAACATTGTTTTGCGAAGAATTGGTTCCCGAAGCAGGGAACCGATCATCGTAAAGCAAAATTCCCCCATTTAGACCATTGTTTTGCCATCGCAATTGCGATAGCAAAAAGATTGTCGTAAAGCGGATTTGTCGTAATGCAGGGCAATTGTAAAGCGAGGCAGCACTGTATCCCTGTCAGCTCTTGGTTGCTTAATGTGATGTTATTATGCTGTTCAGCATAAAAGAAGACACGAATGGTGGAGGACAATACTGTCTTATTTGCTTGGGGTAGCAAACCCACAGACTGTCAGTGCTGCTGCAGATAGCGAGGGAGGGATAGAGAGCAGGGAGAAAGGTGGCAATGGCATGGCCCTCTCTTCCAAACATGATTCTTATTTATTGTGTTGCTTGTCTCTTCCTGCCCTTCCTCCCACCAAGTCCCCAACACACCAGTAATGTGTTGGATTCAGGATTACTTCCTACCATGTGGGAAGACTGTAGACTACAAAGGCAGCTAGGAAATGCATTAAACAAGTAAATAAATGAAATCTGTTCTGAAGCTAGATTTGATTTTACCATCTGTTGTGTATGTGTGATGCGTTTGTCATACAAAACTGTTCCATGTGATTGCTCCACTAAGTGGTGACTGGAGAGGAAACTGCAGAATCAATCCTTGGCTAAGTGTATAGCCTGGGATAACAGTATAGAAACTGCAGTAGTTTGGGAAAATAAATATCTGTCACTCAGTTGTCATGGTGTCCAAATCATCAGATAATGGGCTCATGTAAGATTTTAAGTATCCAAACAGCTGTTGTGCTGCAGCAAAATAGGGGCCATCAGCAATTGCCAGCTAAGTAGAGGGCAATCTAATGAGATTCAAATCAGTGAAAACAACTAGGATGGAATGGTTTGATGGACGTCAATGACATGAGATCATTCCTGTGTCAGTGACTGTGAGTTAATTAAATTCAGCAGTTTTGAGAGTACGTAGCTGCCTAGGACACAGGGTTTATGGTCATTGCATATTGCATAGAAGAGAAGGAACCAGGGAAATACAAGGCTTGAAGGGTAGTGAGACTCCTTGAATTTCTATGTCTGAGGAACCTCTGCTGGAAATGAATGGAATCTGGCAGGGTATGTAAGATCAGATATAGCTCTCTGTGACCTAAGAGGTGTTTAGTTTCTGTGGTGCTGCAGGGCAGCCATGCAAATCAAGGCTATGTCTAACTATTAGGCTCAGAAGGTACTGGAGCAAAAGTGACACCAGATAATGTAGTCAAGCTGCAGAACAGCAGTGGGGGAGGCCCCAAATCACTTTCCATGTGAATCAGAGTAGGTTTTAAGAAGCTTTTGGAGAAAACTCTAATGCTGCACTGTTTCGTCTCAAAAGTCATGAGTTTACCTTGTTGGCTACTGCTTCTGCATGCATCTGCCGTTTTCCTGTTGCACCAGCATCCCACATTATAATCTGGTTCCACAATATCATGGTAAATGCATGTATTGTTTCTTCCACCATCTATTCCCACTTCTGAAAACAGCAGTTCGGAATGGAATAACTGACACATGCTTAACACGTATGTTGGAGAACTGAACATTGGTTTCTACAGAGATTTGTGAGGCTGCAATCTGGGGCTTGCAAATTGTAACCTACAGGCCACATGAACTCCTGGATCATTTTTACAGGGCTCATCGATACACTCATGGCTCAGAATTCAACACCCCCCCAAGAAAACAGCTGTTCT